TCATCCTTAGGGTATGCTTCAGCTGGCAGACCAACCAAGAGCTGGTATGCTTCAGTGTACAGATCATACACCTGCACACCATCTCTGGTTTGAACATCTGCCAGAGATATGAGCTTCCGATACATTGCCGCTACTACCCTGTAGTCGGGCGACTTGCTGGTCATCATCAGGTGAAGTCCTGCACTGAATGCTGCACTTGCCACTGTGCTGTCGGCATAATCACGTGCTGAATGCAGGCCCATCTGGAAAAAGTGCTCAGCCTTGAAACCAGGCATGGCTCTGCATCTTTCAATGATCTCCTGCTGCCCCTTGCAATCTTTCTGCCGGCCTTTCACATCAAACATGAGTAGTTGGAAAAAAGTGCCTGAGGTGTCTTGCCCTTCGGGCTTGCATTTGCTCATGATCTGCCATGGAACCTTGTTAGTCACAGGGCCGAGCAAAAGCAGGAGGATGGGTACAGGAGGGAGTAAATACTGGGAGCACGTGCACTATACACACCTTTTGACACTTTTCAAGTGTTGTTGCCGCCTTGTTCATGCTGGCTTCACTAGCATCGCCATCAGCCAATAACGCTGCTCCACCCAGAAGCAAAGACAGCTTCGTTGATTGCAGATTCTCTTGTGTCTCTGGCAGCAATGGAAAAAGTTCAGCCGCACAAGCCAGGAAAGATGCACATGCTCCCCACATCTTATGCTTTCCAGCTTCAATGCCATGGTTCCATGCTGATGCAGCGAACCAGCTTGCCTCCTTCATTCCAGCAGGAGGTTCACCAAAGAATCCGTCAGTACCGATAGCTGCAGCCCTGGTGATTGCGACTTGGAAAAATTCAAGAGCTTCAACCATATTTCCGACTTTCTCAGTAACCAGGGTGATAATGTTCCTAATCACAACCGCTTCGACCATTCCAACTTTAGTTCCAGCAGATATAAGCTTCTGCAGCTGACGAAGTGCTTGAACAGCAACCCTGCTCTGCCCACTTGCCACAGCCTCATGTGATGCCAACGCAAGGTAATCAGGCTCAAAATCCTTGCAGGATAACATATTTTCGACATCCTGGGCTGCCTTGAACTCGTTCTTTTGTTGAAGCGATATTTTATACTGCAAGAAGTTGTTGGTCATGAAGGGAATTTGCTGGAAAAACCCATGCCTATCATAAAGCATACCTTCAAGAAGACTGAGGCAATGCAGGGATCAATCTGCAAAAGGAGAAAGCTCCATGTTAGTGTATGGTTCTGTAAGCTTTACAACAACATCATTTTCTCACCTCTTCAGCCAGCTGAATGCACTCAGAAGCTCTATCATACTGAAGCAATCCCATGTGACAGAGACAAATAACACGAAGTGCTTTAGCGCGTTGCTCTTGCCTGCCGTCGTGAAGATAAAGCAGACTCGTTTCGAACAGCTTCACACTCATGGTGTAATTCTTTCGCGAGAATTGTTCAGAACCGCTGCAGCAGCCAGATCAGGAAAGTCAGAAGATTGACACAACTCGTTCCGAGGAGAAAAACGAATGCGAACAATACCAGTTCCAGAAAAGCGCGTGGACGCTATGTTGATCGCTGCTGTCATCGTGAACCAGGACCCCCAAGCTTTTGCTCTTTGATATCAAGGATGCCACCACCCTGTCGTCCTGTCCTATCTCAATGGCTGCTTCCACACACGCCAGGCGCGACGCTCCTTGTTGGACAAGAGTGGTAAGAAGTTGACGCGAGAATTTTCCACCGTTAGGAAACTTGTTCAGTGTTTTGAAGAATGCCGTTTTAGCAGCTGAAACTGAACTCAAGCTTCCCGACGCTATGATGACTTCGATTGCTGCACCCACAACATCGACTTTGGCTGTGTCTCCCTCGGTGAGTTTAGATAGTTCTTCTTCAGCTGCATCATGCTTCCCAAGTGCAGAAAGAGCCTTCAATTCCAAAAAAGGGACACTCGGATGAATGGGGAATCCTGACTTGAGAATCGACGTGCACTTGAGTGCGTCGTCGTAACGGCCACATTGGACGTGAGCTCCAGCCAGATATCTCAATGTGCGGTCGCGGAGATCCGCCATTGCCTTCTTGCAGGCAATCTTTCCTTCGAACTGCAAACTGACAATGCCGTCAGAACATATTTCGAAAGCTTTCTCAAAGTAAGGCGTTGCGTCCACTGCGCTCTCAGAACCAGAAGATGCGTTCAAGACAGCCTTCCCAAACTGGAGGTACATATCAGCAAGCTCGACGGATTTCTCTGGCAGCTGTGGAAGTAGAAGCACAGCGCGACCCAGAATGTTACTGGCCAGCGCAGTCTGTTTGACTTCCCATGAAGCTTTGGCCCTGGCGACGTGAACGTCAAAACTTAAAACTGTTAACTCATGCTGAATGGCAGGATCGTCGTCCTTGATTACGTCCTTGGCCTTGGTGCAGAGCTCAGTAGCCTTCGCCAAGCATGCCTCCGCGGTCTCAAACCGACTGAGCTGTATCCACAAGCAGCCCGTCTTTTGAAAAAACATAGCGATTTTAAGAAGGCTGGATTGTACGGCAGTACTCTCCCCCGCGGCCAGAAGGACGTCGGCTGCGATGTTCCGGAGTCTGGCATTCTTCTCCTTCTCAGACGTGCTTAGCTCCTTTCTGTTAGATATGTCGACACACGCGTTCCATATTCGGTAGCTGAGCTTCCATAGCTCTGTTGTCTTTCCAGCATCACAACTATACGAAATTGCTTTAGCTGCTGAAGCGAGTGCATCAACTTTGTTCTGTCCGAATGAGTTTGGTCCTTGTTCCAGCTCCTCAACCAGACGCTCGAACTCATTCGATTCATTAGGAGGAGCTTCGGCGGACTCCATCATGTCAGGTGTTAGCTCATGTATCATCATGGTCAAAGTTCAGTAACCAACAGCAAGAGATAAGGAAAATGGGTTCAGCAAGCAGAACCAAATTCGACTAGGATAACCAGATTCAGGAACTGTTGCAACCAAAATGATGGACTTGTGTTGTTTGTTTGAACCAGTGAGAGCACTGCCAGTCAGTTCAGAGTGGTTGAGCCAAGAGACCAACCAGGCCGCGACCTGGGTTGATGTCCTTGACGTTGGTGAGATTCAAAAATTCGCGGTGGAGCACCACCGGCCTCGGGTTTCCCGCCAACTATCCAGAGGAGGTTTCCAGTGTCCGAAGCCAGTCACAACTGCGTACGCGTTTAAAGGATCACTCGATAAAACACACAATAATCACGGCGAATTTCTCACACTAGCAACCGCGGCCATATGTTTTCCCGCGTCACCTGATCTGCTACCCGCTTGCCTCCATTGGTCATGTGTGCCCTCCACAACCAAATCCAGCCTTCGGCACGCAGGTTGATCCGCTTGGTGCTGTTGCTGCTGCTGATGGTGTCAGAAGGAAGCCTAGGTTCCCATCCACACTTGACTGATCACATGGAAGCATTTGGTGATCGCGATGGATTCCTTTCCACGGCTGTTTTCAGTCCTTTTTAGCATGGCGGCTGTCCGTTCGATATTAGTCGTCGTCGTCGTTTAATCCTCTAAGAAACCACGATGCGGGTCTAGTTTGTCAGCTACCCACTTTCGTGATAAGATCATTTAGATCTTCAGCGAGCAGCACATCTGGCCCGTTGAACCGAGGATTTTTTTTTCGGTTTTCCAATTGTATGTCATTAGTGCTTTCACGACAAACATCGGCCGACCCTTGCTCAGGTTAGGAGACTGGATCGTCTCTCTTTCACATAGGAGCATACTTTCTCCAGCCTCCCGCTTCTGCGGCCCTCTCATAGGCATTGGCCCCGTCCAAGTTGAGGTCAATCTAGCTGCGTCGCCTCGCACACTCTGTTCTCCCCCGCTCACCAACTTACCGACGAGATTAATTTTCCACGCGAGTGTCGGTTTAGCAGTCTCCATTAACAACGAGCAGCGGCCATGGAGGCGTGGCTCGCCTCGTGCGTGTCACGCTCGCTCTCTCTCCACTGCGTGCGGAATGCGACTTTCTTAGCGGAACGCCTCTGCGCGTCGTTCCCGAACGAGGTGAGGCCTATCATGGATCCCCGTAACAGGTCACAAAGCTTCTATGAACGGAACGGCACAAGCATACCCGAATGGATCTCCGTTACAGGTACACAGCTGCTATGAATTGCATACACCTACCCGATTATCGCATTATAACCGCAACAGGCATAGATGCGTGTATGCTAATGACGTATGTGAGGCCCATCGTGAATTACCGTTACATGTGATACAGCTGCTGTAAAGACCAACGTATTTCTAGATGGTCGCAGACTCACCACAACAGCCTTAAATGCGTTTGTGTCAGAAACTATAAACTGATGCTGCTGTTTACGGCTTCGATTTTGTTAGTTTCTCGCAGCTGTCCTTTGTGCTGTTCCACTGTAACGTCTTGCTCTCGCTATCCGTGGTTGCCTTGTTCCGCAGCCCAACTTCCAGCTACTGGCTTCCTGCTACGTGAGGGCTAACAAGCCTCTGCTTGCACGACACGTTCTCAAAGGTAAATTTGCGTCGTACTGCCACTTATATCATGGATTCTTTTTTAAATGGACTACACTGCATGCATCTTGTCACCTTGTCGAATCCTTGCCCCAGCATTGCTTGTTGACTTCTGTGTTTTCCTGAATTTGCCCTCATCGAAATCACATCCCTTGGTTCTTACAACACAAAAGCGTGGCTCGCCCGGGTATTCCACCATTCTCAATCAACCCAGCACCACCTTTTCAACCCGTTACCGCCGTTCAGGGCTACCGTCTGACCAGAGCCGTTATCTGCTGGCACTGGCGTGTTACGACCTGCAGCTGCTCACAGAAGCAGAGGCAGCCCTGCAGCCCAACCCTGCGTCCATGATCCTACCTCCCTCGTTTCACTCCCTCATTGCCTCGTCCTCCTCTCCTGCCTCCTCGCCTTCCGCTGCCTCGGCACAGCGATCTTCTGAGGTGAGCGATTTCAGCGCAGATTTTCTCGAGAGTCCCGTTCACGTTTCAAGGCAGCCTCCGTCTGGATAAATCTAATGAATCAATCCACTCCTTCTCGGTTCGTCCGCTGCTGCCTTTCGCCTACTGCAGCCACAGGTGCCCAATGGAGCAGCAGGCCTGTACCTCCTGGGGCTCATCTGCAAGTGAGTAGTATCACGCATTCAGATTCGTCCTCGCTCATGCTCGTTTCCTGCTGCTGCGCTTCCATCTGTGGTCGCTTCCAATCCTACAGTCTCACTCACTCATCCTCCTCCCCTCGTCCCCTTGCTGCTGTGTGAACGGCAGAGCGACGAATCGGCGACAGGTGGCCATTCGCCATTTCACGTCCGCCCTTGCACTGGACCCTTTCTTCTGGTCTGCATACGAGGAGCTCTGCATTCTTGGTACTCCTCCCCCCTCCTTTCCCTCCACACTCTTCCGTACATGCACTTGTGTCTCTTTCCGCCCCACCTACCCAGCCTGTGTCTCGTTACCCGCACGTGTGTCCTATGAGGGATGCATATAGCGATGGGGACAAAGGTTGAGAAGAAAGAGATAAAGGCGAGAGAGTGGAAGTGTGGAAGAAAAGGAGAGGGGGGGATTCGATTGGTGTGGTGCGAGTGTAGTGGATGCGAGGATCAGCGGTGGATACGGAAAGGAAGCGGTGGTGATCAGCACTTCCACCGCTTTCCCTTCCATATCCACCGCTGATCCCCGCATCCACTACACTCGCACCACACCAACCGGATCCCTCCCCCTCCTTTCTTAACACCCTTCCGCTCTCGTCTCTCTCTCTCCTTCTCCCAAGCCTTCGTCCCCATCGCTCGCTCTATCGCATCCCTCATCATAATCATCCTCACCATCGTCACAACCATCCGATCCAGCTTTCAATGATCCCTCCTCATCTTCAATCTCTGACTCCATCTCCTCCCTCTCCCAATCCCTCCCCCTCTCCCGCTCCCTCTCCCTCGCTCTGTCCCATATTCTCTTCCCTTCACCCTCTGGATGATATCTCTCTTCTGTCACTTTCAACCTCCCTTTGTATCACACCCGCGCACCCCACTGGTTCACTTCCGCCTACCTTAACTACCTGCTGCGTCCTGCTGTTCCTTGCTGCTTAACACCTCCTTCTCATCCCAATCCCTTCAGGAGCGGAAGCAGAAGCATCACAGGCGTTCAACGAAACTGCTGCCCTGCACATGGAGCAGCAGCAGCAGAGGGTTCAACAGGAAGTGTCAGTCCAGCAGCAGCAGCAACAGCCACAGCAGTGTTCTCAGCCGCAGCAACAGCAGTCAGGCCAGGGGCCGGAGCAAGGGCAAGAGTGGGTAGCGCCACCGCAGCAGCAGCCGGCACAGCAAGGGTTGAATCCAGCTTCAAACTATGTCACGCCTCCTGTACGTTCTACTGCTGGGATCCCCAAACCTGGGAAACATGGTGATTTTATTTCCACTGCTTTTGCAGGGACACTTCCTAGCGCATTGTTTATTCAGAGGGATGTCATGTGCTGTGCTGTGCACAAGTTGCAATGGTGTGAGCACGTGCAGGGACACGGCCAACGCCAGTCTCAATCACCATCCGCAGATCTCCTCCATTCCCTTGTTCAATCACATTTTCTCTGCGGGACATGTGTGCGTGCGTGCAGGAGGCAGTGGTGAGCACGTGGAGGGACACAGCCTCGCCTCGCACCCCAGCAGGGCCTGTGGCGCCGGCTGTGAGCGCCGCCACGCGCATGGCACACCGCCGCAAGATGGTGGATGAGAACAGACTGCGCAATGTGAGTCAGGGAAGGAGTATGGGCCATGGGGCGGACGGGGGCTTGGTGGGTTGGTGCACGAAGGGGAAGGAGAAAAGAAGCCAAGGGAGAAGTGGAGCGGTGAAGGGGATGTTGGGGAGGAAAGCTGGGTGTGAAAGTGGAGGGTGCGGGGGGAAGGGGTTGCCGAGTGGGGGTCGAAGGGCAATTGTGTGAGCATGGGACAGGAGCAGCTAGCTAGTGGAGATCCGAGCTACTGAAAATGGAAACACCTAGGACGTTTCTCAGATACTTGCATTCTACCCTTCCCGCCCTCCTTTCCTCCCAGGTGGCTGGTCGTCTGTTTGCTGAGCCCAGCACCTTACGCCGCAGCACGCGGCTAGCAGAGGGTGGAGCAGGTGGGGGCGCTGCTGCTGGTGCTGCTGCTGGATCGGCTTCGGCAGCACGGGGAAGCACCGGGGTTGGAGGAGGAGGAGGGGGCGGAGGAGGAGGGACGAGTAGGGGCTCTGTGGCTCGTCGGACGACGGATGGGTCTAGTCCAGGTGGGAATGGATGGATGTGCGTGAACTGCAGAGAACGCTAGATCCCTATGTGTTTGAGGTGACCATTTACCCATCCACCCACCCTCACCCACCCACCCACCTGCATCCACGTTTCCGTTCCTCCTCTCCTCTCCCCACCCTTCCCCTTTCGACCCCCTTTTATGTTTCCAGTTTGTGTTTCGATCTTCACCCAACCGCGCCCCTCCCCTCTGCCGCTCTTATCCACACTCCTTTGCATGCCTCTTCCCTTCCTTTGCTGCCACTCAGAGGTATTCTCCTTTCTGATCCCCTGCTCTTGACACCCATCCCCTGCTCTCCTGCGTCCTCTTCTCCTTCTCCCCGTGTATCAGCCCGCAAACCACTTCTGCATTCTATCCCAGCCATGCCCTCTTTGGACCTGGGGAATGACGCTGCACCTCCTTCCAGTGCTGCTGCAGCTGCTGCTGCTGCTGGTGGTGGCGGAGGAGGAGGCAGGGCGTCTACAGCATCAGGTGGGGCTGCCAATGCTGGTGATATGTGCCCTCAGCTGCCGCTGCTGCCGCTCCCGCTGTTGCTGTTGCTGTTGCCTCTGCTGCCACGATGCTGATGCTTATCCTTCTGCTGGTTCTCCCGCTTGTCCAGGAGCAGTAGCCCCCTCTGCCTTTCCCCCCTCATGCGCAATTTTCTCCACCCTCCCTTCCAATCTCCCACTTTCACACCACAGCTGACCTTCCCGGAGCAACGCCGCAGGATTGGGAGCCGAAGCAAGTGGCCCGGGAAGAGGACAGGGAGGCTCGGCAGCGGATACAGCCTGGGAGAGAAAAGGCGGGAGGGGGAAGCCATGCCTCCAATGGTGGGGCTTCGTCTGCTGATAGTGCTGCAGGAGGGATGGGGGGAGGGGGAGCAGGAGCAGGCGAGGAGGTGGAAGGGAGAGGCGCGTTGGGAAGAGGGAGCAGTGGCGCAGAGGGAGGGGGGAGAGAGGGGGAAGGAGGGGATGAGGTTGAGAGTGGGCAAGGGGGGGCGAAGAGTGGCGGGGGAGTGGGGTATGGGGAGGCAGGGGAGGATGGGAGTGCTGGGGGAGGGGCAGGAAAGGGGGGGGAGAGTGGGGCGTTGCTAGCAGTGCGGCTGCTGAAGCAAGTGGGACGAGCGTTCCTGCTGCTCTGCATGATGCGATGCCAGGTGAGGCCTGCGGTGGGATGCTGTGCGGTGCTGTGTAGTGTCATATGGTGCTATGGAGTTTTGTTGGGTTCTATCAATGTTGTGGGATGCTGCGGGGTGTTGTAAGGTGATGAGGTAGTTTGCCCGAGAAAAGTATGTACTCAACTGACGTTTCCAATGGTTCTCCCCGGTGTTATAGCTTTTGTCTGCTTCCTGGTCCACGCAGGCCAAACCCTATCAGAGCCTCCTTGTCTTCGTTTGGCCGCTTCACAGTGCCTCCTTTGGCTGTTCCGTGTCCCACTAACTTGCCGTTCCTCCATGCGTCACCCAGTGACCCAGCACCTCTCACCCTGCTCTCCTCCCACCGCTGCCCCTTCTTCCTGCGGCTACCACATAACCATCTCCTTCGCCCGTTCGCCCCACTCCCTCCCTGCCTCTGTGTCTTGTCTTGTCTTGTCTTGTCTTTTCCCCTTGTTTATGTGTGGTACCAGGAGGCAATCGAGGCGTTTTCTGAGCTCCCTGCTGCTCAATACAACACACACTGGGTGCTGGTTCAGGTTCGTTATGCTTCAGTCAATGCTTGATCTGTGGGCTGTACACTGTTGTTGTTATGCCGAAGGCCAGACCAGAATGTGACAGCATCGGAATTGTAAGTGTGCCACCTTTTTAAAACAGTGTGCATGGTGCAGGATGGCGGACTGATTTGCTAGTCGACATTTTCCATGTATTAATTCGTATTTATATACATCTAGGGTTTCGTTATGTACACGTGTATAACCCTTCTGTGCATTCCTGCAGGTGGGCCGAGCGTATGTGGACATGGTGCAGTATGGGGAGGCGGAGAGGGTGTTTGAGATGGCACGCCAGGCCAGCCCTTGCCATGTGGACGGCCTTGATATCTACTCCACCGTGCTCTTTGTAAGAACCCTCTTCGCTCATTTACCTTACTCACTCGCTCACTCTCTCACTCACTCACTCACTCACTCATCACTCATTACCTCGCTCACTCATCCACGCACTTGCGCACTCACTCACTCATCGCCCGCTCCTCCCCCTATGTGTCACCCCTCTCACCCGTTGGCCCCTATCCCTATCACCAGCACATGCGCAAGGATGTGCAGCTCAGTCTGTTGGCTCAGGAGGCGATAGCAGTGGACCGCATGGCTCCCCAGGCATGGTGGGTTGCCTTGCCTCGAGTGTTGCCTTTCTCTCTCTTCCCTTGTCTGGTGTGTTGATAGTTTTTTTTAGTGAATCGTATGCACCATGGTTTTTGCGTTTGAGCCTTCCCGAATTCCGAGTAAATCTGGAGCCTATTTCCTTTCTGTCTTCCGCCTATATTCTCTCGGTATATTCCCCCCCTTCAACCCCATCCCTTCCTCCCTCCCCCCCGGCAGGTGTGTGAGTGGCAACCTCATGAGTCTCACCAAGCAGCACGAGGCAGCGCTCAAGTTCTTCCGAAGAGCCACGCAGCTGGACCCCTCCTTCACCTACGCCCACACCCTCTGCGGCCACGAGTGAGTGTGTCTGGGTGGATGGTGGGAAGGGTTGGCGTGCATGTTGGGGATCGGGGGAGGGCGGATGGGGGGAACAGGGTGTGGATTGGGGGAATTGGGTGCGATGGAGGGTTGCAGATGACTGGTTGTAATTCTACCCTCCTCTCACTTCCCACTACCTTGTCGCTCCCCCTCCGTTTTGTCCTGCCCCTTTTCGCTCTCTCTTTCATTTCCCCCTGTTACGCTTCCTTTTCCCTCTCCCTCCTCTTCCCCTTCCCCCTCCCCTTCCCCCTCCCCTTTCCCCTCCCCCTCCCGCACCCCCTCCCCCTCACCGTCCCCCTGGCCTCGCCATCCCCCTCCTCCCCTCTCCCACCTTTCCCTTCCCGTGCCCCATTCCCCCACCCGCCCCTCTGCTGTGCGCCATCAGGTATGCAGCAGTGGAGGAGCTAGAGGGCGTTTTTCTCTGCCATTTGAGTTGACTCAAAAGTTGTTCCTTCTTCCCATGCCCCGTCCCCCCAACCGTTTCCCCCACCCGCCCCTCCACTGTGCGCCATCAGGTATGCAGCAATGGAGGAGCTAGAGGATGCTGCGCTCTGCTTCCGCACCGCCATTCGCCTTGATGCTCGCCATTACAACGCATGGTGAGAGGGGCGTGGCAAGCGCATGGTGAGAGGGGCGTGTTTACACTTGTTATGGACAGTTACACATTCAATACAAGGTCAATGGAGCATCTGCTGCTGCTTGTGTTCTAGAGCAGATTGATCCGTAAATGTAGATGCTGCTATATGTTCAAACGTACACCATGTGTTGGTGCTTGTGTTCAAACATACACCATATCTCCCATATCCCTTACTCCCTGTGCGTCCAGGCATATTCCTAGTCTTCTCAAACATCTCCTTCCATCAATAAGGAAATCCATCCGTCCCTCATGATGTCTCTCTCTCCCTCCGCACCTCCACCAGGTACGGCCTGGGGTCTGTGCTGATGAGGCAGGAGCGTTTTCACCTGGCAGAGTACCACTTCCGTACAGCACTCACTGTCAACCCCCACTCGTCTGTGCTGCATACCTACCTAGGCGTCTGCCTGCACTCGCTCAAGGTACCCCTCTCGCACCTTCCCTTCTGCCACCTAAACCTACTCCTGATTCTGGTCGTCTACATGTGAAACATTCCCTCCTCGGTTTTCGCTGAATGTATGAGTATATGCTGTTTGTCAATCCCTGTCAAGTGGCCGGACCCCTATGCGCTAGTTCCTTGAGTCTTCCTCCTTGCAGAGGAGCAGCGACGCCCACACATCCCTGCAGCATGCGGTGCGGCTGGACCCGCGAACCTTTTCTCTCAACTCCCCTCCCCGTATCCCCCATTCCACTCCCTACCACAACACCCTGCAGAGGAGCAGCGACGCCCACGCGTCACTGCAGCATGCAATGCGCCTGGACCCGCGCAACCCGCTGCCGGTGTTCCAGCACGCGTACATGCTGCTGGGGGACGAGCGGCTGGGGGATGCGCTGCACGCTGCCAAGCAGCTGCTGCACGTGGCTGCCAGAGAGCCCTCCGTCTACTTCCTCCTCGGCAAGGTGAGATGCCCCGGTGGAGAGAGTTGCTCTGGGAAGGCTAGGTTTCTGAAGGAAGTGGAGTTTGGGGGTTATTGGTTGAGAGGGAGGGGAATAGGGAGGATGGTGGGAGGGCTGGTGTTGGGTTGGGAGCTGAGGTGTATTTTGTGGAAATAATTCTTACTTTGGGACTGGGAACCTGCAGCAAAAATTTATTGCACTGGCGTTAAAGAGGGACCCGTCTTTGAAACTTTCTGTTTCCTCAATGCTCCGTGCTTTTTGCAACAGATTTGCAAGAAGTTGGACCGACCAGAGGAGGCCCTGATGCACCTCAACTGTGCTCTGGACTTGAAGCCACCAGCACAGCAAGTCAACCTCATTAAGGTAGCATTGCATTCTGTGGTATGCCATACACACATTGAAGTATTATGGAATGTAGGGCACTGTATTGCTCTTGCCTCTTCATCCTTTTCCACATTTTTGTCGCGCTCCAACCACCATTACGCTGAGTCTGATAGTTGTGCATTTACTCGCCTCTCCCACCCCCTCCCACCTTCCCGTACACCATTTCCCTGGTCTCTCGTCAAACCTTTGCCTGGTTCGGTGTCTTTTACCAACTCATCCTTGCACGCTCTTGCTTGCCTTCTGTGCTGTTGCTTGCTCTCATCTGGCAGGCCTTTATAGAGAAACTTAATGTGCCAGACAACCTGGAAGATGTTGAGGAGGAGGAAAGTATTTAAGGTAAGGTTGTTTGAAGGCAAACGAGCGAAAGGCTGAGTGAGGCATGTCGGGGGATTGCTCGAGTCTAGATGGCTGGGAGAAGGTTCAGTTCACCAGTACAGTAGGCTACATTACGGACTTGTATTTGTGAATGTCTAGGAAATTGAGCTGGAACTTGTTTTTAGCACATTTAGTACACGAGTTCTGTAGTGTACCCGTTTCATTCTTAGCTTTCAGCCCACATGGCGACTTCACTTGGCCTGGCAGCCAAGCGTTACTGCATCTGTTTGTCGGCATCACTGAAGGGAGATAAACGCCCAAAACTGAAAAATTTGGTGTCTTCGGTGGCAGGCGAACTGAAATTTCGTCGCGGTGGACATGACATTAAAAAAAATTCGAGTGTGTGTTGTTTCCAGATGCTTCACTGCTGGAGGGAACGTACGCAGCATTCAAGGTGTACTCTGGAAAATTGGGGTTCTGGGATGAACCGTAACAATCTCTTAGTCGCAAAACACCGAGGGGCTACTTCTGTTGAAGTCTCTATACCCGCTCCGAGAAAAGACGTGAAACCCCTTTCAGCTTGCTCGCGTGTTGTTGCGAGTAATGCAGCCACAGACAAGAACCACATGTGAGAAAAAAATGCTCACACTTAGCGAGCTGTGCAGACAACAAGTGGACGAAACTGTTCGTGTACACTGTCGTGTTGTACTGTAAAGTGCACTCCACACAAACTGTACTCACTCGTGCCGCCTCGCCTCGCCTCGCCTCGCCCTACCGCAGCCAACAGCCAACAACACGCAGCTCGTCCCATCCAATCCCGAGACCCCATCCCAACCCATCTGCCCTATCCGCCAACCACCCCGTTGTACCCATATCCCTCCACGCCCCGCGATAAACTTACTGAAACCCTCTCAAAACCGCTCCAGACCTGTCTTCCCCTCCCAGTTTCTCCCGTGCTGTGAGTTTGTTTGTGGCTGCCCCCGATCCGCCCGCCCCGTCCGCCCCAGCTCGGTTATTTCCAGTTTACAGCACAGCTTGCGGCTTTCGTTCGTTCGTGCTCCAGGCAGGTCGGGTGGCGGGTCGGTTCGGGGTGAAGCTGACCTGAGTCGAGTCGAGCCGAGTCGAGTGGTGGTGGTTTGGTTAGGTGGGTGTTGGGAGGGACGCAGGGAAGAGGGACGGGCAGTGGAAGCAAACCAACGTCCTTGTCCTTTGTCAGCTTCAATTTTCTTGTTGTGGGGTGGGTGTGGTGTGGTGGCTTGGTGGGAGATTTTTTTTCGAGCCCCCGGCTGAAGCGTCCTCCATGAACACTCTCGCGAGAGAACATGGTACATATTACTGCTGACGGACCCGCCTGACTATGATACATCATACATAAGGTATCAGTCAGCCACGCTAACAACGTAGTCGCAATGCCGTTCTAGCTTCTGCTTAGGTTTCTTGACTGCCGCTTTAAATTTTTATTGTATTTCCCTTGCATCTCCCGCTACGCATAGAATAAGCCTCATCAGAATGATTCCGTCCATCGTCCGTTCCGCATCGCGTTACGCGCCGGCACTGCGGCGATAGAGAAAGCCACCGCGTCTTGAAAAGGCCGCCGCCGCTGCCGCCGCCGTTCTTGCCGTGATGGCCGCCGTTCCCGCGCTGAGCAAGCAGCTGAACGGCTTCGCGGAAATTTCCGACTACGCCGATTACTCCGACTTGAGAAGCGGCCCTCGCGGCGCGCTCTCTCATGGCTCCGATTATAACGCGCGCTCCGTCGCGGCGAAGCAGGCTAATCCAGCTGCAGGGAAGCAGGACGAGTCAGCAGCCGCGAAAGCCGCAGGCAACGGCATGTCAGGGCCCGTCAATAGGGCGGTACCGGGGACGGCGGTATCCGGAGGGGGTAACAGCCAAATTAGCCAGGGTAACCAGCCCAAGTTAAAGCTTTCGCAGCTATACGCGCAGATGGTGGAGCAGCAGCAGAGCCTCATCGAGCAACACGGGCTCGCTGTCGCCGGCGCAAATGGCACCCACCCCGCCGCTTCCGCCGCCGCCGCCGCCGCCGCCGCGGGCGGAGCCGGCTCGAAGGGTACTCGAGCCCGCGATCAGGGGGATTCGGGCGCGTCGCTGGAGCAGCAGCAGCAGCTTTCGCGGAAGAGCGCGCAGCTCTCCTCGCCGCCGACGGCATCAGCGCAGGTGCGCAGCCCGCAACAGGCGGGAGCGGCGGATACGGGGAAGCAGGATGGCGGAGCGTCTGCGCGGCGGCCTCCCCCATTGCAGCTTCAGAACGGCAACGCGTCAGAGCATGACACGTCAGCGGCATCGCGGTCACAATCGCAGTCGCAATCGCTGTCGCAATCGCAGTCGCAGTCGCAATCGCTCTCGCAATCGCAGTCACATTCGCACGGCGTTAGCCGGGAAGAGCGTGCGACAAAAATGTACGCGCATCCGCAGTCGCAGTCGCTGGACGAGCGGAAACTTTCCGCCCAATCCGCCCAGTCTGCGCATTCCGCCCATTCAGCGCACGGCCCTTCCGCGGATCCCATGCGCGCGGAGCTGCTCCGCGAGGCCGCGCAGGCGCACCACGAGGCCGCGCGCCTGCGCGAGGACATTGCGCGCTTGTGGCAAGAAGTTGCGCGCGCTCGGGAAGAGTGCGCGCGAATGGGCGAACGCGCCGCGGCCTCCCTCGAAACCGCCGCCGCTGCGCTCGAAAAAGCCGCCGCAGGCGGAGGGGGGGGCGCGGGCGCGGCAGCGAGAGCCACGTCATCATCCTCCTCCTTGCCAGTCCCCCGCCACGTGCGCACGGAAGGCGGAAGCGGACTCCTCTCCCCGTCCGGACTGATCTCCCCCTCTGCGCGCTCCCCCAGCCCCGGCAGTGGCGGCGGCGGCGGCGGCGGCCTGCACCCGTCCGTCCGCCGACAGCTGTCCAATTCGTGGAGTGACTATGGCGGGGGGGACGGCAGCGCGAGTCCGGGGAGTGCGGGGCAGGTGAAGGCGTTTCAGCGCCTACAGGCAGCAAAATCTCTGGGTCTCCTCCCGCTCGCCCCAGGGGAGAGCGTGTCTAGCGCGGGTCCGGAGGATCACGGCGGAATCGGAAGCCCCCCCGGATTGGCGGACAGCCCGCCTGGGTTGGCGGACAGCCCCGACGCGGGCGGCGGCGGAAGCGGTAGATTCAACAGCCGCGCGCTGGCGGAGAGCGTGGAGCGCGCGTCCGCGTGGTCCGCGGGGCTGGAGGCGATCGGCGGATCTGCGCCTGCTTCGGCGGCGGCGGGGAAGGCTGGCGGAGTAGGCGCGTCCGCCGCGGGGTCGGGAAGCGCGGGAGGGAGCCGCGGAGGGGGGAGAAGCGCGCGCGAGGCGGGTGGTGGCGGGGGAGACAACTACTCGCCCTCCAGCCCGGACTCGGTGACGTCATCGCGGAGAAGCGCGCGCGGAAGCACCGTGAGCGGAAGCAGCAACTGCTTCCCCCCGCTCCCCGGACTGGTGCAGCTCCAAGCCATGGTCCCCGCGGGCCGCAATTCCGTTCCGCCCAGCCCCGCCGCCAGCTCGTCCAACTCGCACGCGCCTTCCGCGGGTGGCGCGGGGGGTTTCGGCGTAGGCGGCGGAAGCGCGGGTGGGGGAAGAGCAAGCGGCGGAGGAGGCGAAGCGGCGGGACGCGGAGGCATGGCGCGGATAGAATCTCTGCATTTACCGCCATCCTCCTCTCCCGCGCTCTCCGCCGCCTCTTCCGCCATGCAGCGCTATAGCTCCATGGACGTGGGGGTCCTCCTTTCCGCCGCGTCTCTCCCCCCCGATTCCTCCCTCTCCGCGGGGGTTCCGCACTCCACTCCGCGCCTGCTAGGCCTGGCGGATACCGAGCCGGAGCTCACCGCGCGCCTGCGCACTAGCAGCAGCAGCGCCGCAGGGGGCGCTGGAGCGTTTTCCGCGTCCCCCGCGCAGGCGGGGCGGTCGAGCTCGTTCGGCGGAAAAGGGGCGGGCGGAATGGGCGCAGGGGCGGGGGGAAGCGGTAGGCAAGCTCTTGGTCCGGGAGCCGGCAGGTCGGGGACAGGGTTGAGCCGAGCCTTGTCTGTAGCCTCGGGACAGTCGCTGCCAGGTATGGTAACGGGGCAAGGGGGACGGGCGGGGGCGGGGGCGGGGGCTGGGTCAGCGGGGGAGGAGATGGGCGGAGAGGCGCGGGGGGAGGGGCGGGGGAAGATGTGGCGGCAAGGGTCGTGCACTGACTCGCTGCTACAGCCGTCCATGTCATTTGAAGACGAGGGGGGGAAACCGGGGCGGAGGGGGGCGGCGGCGGGTCTGGGGAACCTTCAGGTGCCGAAACGGCAGGGGGCGGAGGCGTGGGGCAGGGGCGGGGGAGCAGGCGCGGGAGCGGGCGGCGGAGGGTCGAGGGGGGGTAGTGGGGGAGTTTCGGTGGCCCTGTCGCCGTCGTTTGACGGTATAGTGCATCACGAGCAGGAGATGCTGTCTGCAGGGCTTAAACACGCCGCTGCCACTGCTGCTGGTGGCGGTGGTGGTAGTGGTGCTGCTGGTAGTGGTGGTGGTGGTTCTTCTGGTGTTGCTCGTCCCTTGGAGCGCACTGACGATGAGGATTCCTCCTCACAGTCTGCTTCTTCCTCAGTCTCTTCATCACCGCGCATAGATGCAGGGGCAGCAAAGCGAGCCGCTGCTGCTGCTGCCGCATCTGCAGCCGTTGCCGCTGCCGCTGCCGCTGCCGCTGCCGCTGCTGGCAAGCTGTTAACCCAGCCGCAACATCCGGATGACGAGTCTGATTCTGATTACGATTCGGATTCTGACGAATTGGCTTCCGGCGCCAGCTCTCCCCGGTCCACAGGCTCGGGTTCTGGATCGGCCCGTACCTCTTCAACAGGGGGGGTAGGGGCCTCTCCTTCCTCCTCTGCATCCGCCCCATTTCCCCATCATTCGCCAGGGGGGCCGGGGGGGCGCAGCGGGGGGAGGGGACGCGGGCCAGGCGGGGGGATTCCGGGAGGGGGAAGGGGACGGGCGATGGCGTTGCTAGCAGCAGGAGGGGGAGGAGGAGTGCGGGGAGGGGGTGAGGGTGCCGGAGGGGCAGGAGGGAGAGGAGGAGGGGTGTTTTCTGCTGCAGGTTCTGGGAGTTTCGCGTTTCACGATGGCTCGGAGGAAGGAGGAGGAGCAGGAGGAGGAGGGGGAGGGGAGAGTGCTACGACAAAAGATTCAAAAGCTGCTGCTGTAGCAGCAGCAGCGGCGGCGGCGGCGGCAGCAGCAGCAGCAGCAGGAGCAGGAGCAGCAGTAGCAGCAAAACGGGCAGTGGTGAAGAGTTTCAGTGCGGCAGGGAGTGGGAGCTTCGCGTTCCATGCTGCAGGGGACGATGCAGGGAACGCTGGTGGTGGTGGTGGTGGTGCTGGCGCTGCTGCTTCCCCTGCTGACAGCAGCCCCACTCTCAAACGCCCAGCGTCAGCGGGAGACTCTGCTGCCGCTGCTGCTGCTACCGCTGGTTCTGCTGCGGCTGCTGCTCCTGCTCCTGCGTCTGCTGGTAGTAGATTCGCCGGGGGTGGTCCTGGCGGGGTGGGTATGAGAGGGCTGCGTAGGGCAGTATCAGGGGTGCCAGACGATCGCGCTGCTGCAGCTGCTGCCTTACGCATGGGCTCTGCTGCTGCTGCTGGTGCTGCTGGTGCTGCTGGTGCTGCTGGTAGCACTGCTGGTGGTGCTGCCGGTGGTGCTGGTGCTGCTGCTGGTTCTGTGGCTGGAGCTGGTATGCGTGGGCTGCGTAGGGCCGTGTCAGGGGTGCCAGACGGCCACACCCTATCCTCCTCTGCTGCACGAACAGCAGCAGGAGGAGGGGGAGCAGGAGCACTGCGTATGGGTGCTGGGGGGGCAGGGGGAGGCGGACGCGGGGGCGGAGGGGGAGGGGGAAGCGGAGGTGGAGGGGGGGCGCCAGGGCCGGCAGGGGGGCGGGGGTTACAGCGGGCAGTGTCAGGTGTGCCGGGTGAAAGAGCAAGAAGCGGTGCAGGGGCAGCAGCGGGTTGGGGAGGCGCAGGGGGGGGAGCAGGGAGAGGGGGAGGAGGAGCAGGAGCAGGTGGGGCAGGAAGCAGGGGGTTACGGCGAGCAGTATCTGGGGTACCGGAAGGGGGGATGCACAGTCAGAACCAGAATCAGATGCAGGCACGAGCAGGCGTTGCAGGAGCAGCGGGAGCAGGAGCAGTAGCAGGAGGAACAGGAAGGGGTCTACGGCGGGTGGGATCAGGTGTGCCAGGTATGGCTGGCAGTGGCGGTCGTGGTGCAGCAGCGTTCAATGGTGCTGGTGGGACAGGAAGAGGTGCTGCTGCTGCTACTGGTCGTGGTGGCCCCGGCGCAGGCATGGGAATAGGCACGAACACAAACACAGGCACAGGCACGGGGACAGGGGCAGGGTCAGGGCAGGATCAATATCACCGGCAGCACTCGCTGTCGACTGCGCATATGAGTGGTGCAGGAGGGAGGGGAGGCAGGGGAGGGGCAGCAGGTGGGACGGGGTTGCAGCGACATAAGTCAGTCGGAGGGCAGTTTTTCCAGCCGCACTTGGCTGGTGGTGGGGGTGGTGGTGCGGTGAGCCAGGCGCTCACAAGTGGCGTTGGCGTGGGAAGGGGTGCTGGAGTGGGGAGAGGGGGAGGAGGAGGGGGAAGAGGAGGAGGTGGAGGTGGAGCGGGAGGAGTAGGGGTAGGGGCAGCAGTAAAGTCGCTAGCACCTGGTTCCAGCAGCAGCGGCAGCAGTAGCAGCAGCAGCAGTGGCAGTGGCAGTGGCAGTGGCAGCGTCAGTGGCAGTGGCAGTGGTGGCGGTGCTAGTGCCAGCACCAGCAGTGTGAACAGCAACAGCAACAACAATAGCAAGAGCAACAGCAAGAGCAGTGCAGCAGCAGCAGCAGCAGCAGCAGTAGGTGGAGCAGCAAGTGCTTCAACAACTGCCTCTAGTTTCCCATGGGTTCCTGCTTCCTTGTCTAAGGGTCGTGGCAGCAGCACAGCAGGGGCAGCAGGAGCATCAGCGTCAGCGTCAGCACTAGCAAGGTCTGTGAGCATGGATCCAGTGGCAAAGCCACATTGGAAGGAAAATATGCTGCTGGGGCGTGGGGCGGGCAGGGGGGATGCAGCAGGGGGAGGAGGAGGAGCAGGAGGAGGCTGGGGAGGAGGAGGAGGAGGAGGAGCAGGAGGGGGCAGAGGCGGAAGCAGCAGCATTTTCGCTGTTAAGGGGGGATATGCTGGCTCTGGAACAGCAGGAGCAGGAGCAGGGGCAGCGGCAGGGGCAGGGGCAGGAGGAGTGGATATCAACAATCGCCCTCTTAGTGGTGGCAGCTTCTTTGCCAAATTCGCAGGGGCAGGAGGAGGAGGAGCAGGAGCAGGAGGGGGAGGAGGAGGAGGTGGAGCAGGGGTGGGAGGAGCGAGGATGGGCATGGGAGCAGCAGGAGGAGCGGGAGGAGCAGGAGGGATGGACAGTAGCAGCTTGTTACGTGCTCAGAGCTGTAGCGTGGCAGAGTTAGAGCTAGCGCTGCCATTCTTGGTGAAAACCACGTCGTTCCACCTAGCAGGAGGCATGCTGCAGGAACAGTTTCTTAAGCAGAGCACTCTTCCTACGGGCACGCACGCACCTGGGTCTGCTGTTGGGTCTACTGCTACGTCTGGTTCTGCCCCTGGGTTTGCCGCTGCATCTAGTGGTGCTGCTGCTGCCGGTGGTGGTGGGTCTCGAGTGTTAGGTGCTGCTGGTGGTGCTGGTGGTGCTGGTGGCAGTGGTGGTGGTGGTGATGGTGATGTTTCAGATGCTACGAGCGAGGATGGGAGCATGGGAGGGGGAGATGATGATGATGATGATGATGATGATGATGATGATGATGATGATGATGATGATGATGATGATGATGATGATGATGATGATGATGATGATGATGATGATGATGATGATGATGATGATGATGATGATGATGATGATGATGATGATGGTGCGGATGACAGTGCGAGTGTGAGCACGCAGCTATCAGAAGATGCACCACACCATTCCAGCTTGGATTTATCGGTCTATAGCCAGCCTTCGAACACTCGTGCCGCTGCTGGTACCGCTGCTGGTTCTGGTGCTGCTGGTGCTGGTAGTGGCGGTGGTGGTGGTGGTGGTGGCCGTGGTGGTGGTGCTGCTGGCGGTGATGGTGCTTCTGCTGCTGCTCGTGGCTCGTATCAAAGAGGAGATGAGGAGGATGGCTCAGATGATGACGAGAGTGAGGAAGAGGAGGATGATGAGGAGAGGAGGAGGAGGCTGAGCGGCGGTAGGGGACAGTACGGTAGTAGCAGCAGCAGCAGGAGTGCTGCTGGTGTCAGCACGGGCAGCAGTCAAGGGACCTCTGGATTGACTCTGGGTGTGTCAGCAGCAGCACCACCAGCAAGAGAAACAGCAGCATCAGCATCATCAGGAGCAGCAGCAGCTGCGTCAGCTGCAGCAAGAGCAGCGGCGGCGGCTGCGGTTGCTAGAGGTGCCTACAGCAACCAGGGGGGTGCGTATGATGATAGCAGTGATTATACAAGCAGCAGCGAGAGTGACGTGGGCGGGCATGCAAGCCGGCTCAGGGGTGCGAGAATGCGTGGCATGGGGACGGGTGCTGCTGCCCCTGCTGCTGGTCTGGCTACAGGTGGTGGTTTGGCTACAGGTGGTGGTTTGGCTAGAGGTGGTGGTAATGGTAATGATGATGATGGTGAGGATGAGGATGAGGACGATGATGACGACGGTAGTGTTGTTATGAAAGGGCAAGGTTCAGGAGGGGAGGCCACAGGCAAGCGTGGGCAGGAAGCAGAGGATGAGGAGGAGGATGAAGAGGAGGAGGATGACGAGGATGAGGATGAGCAAATGGGTGCAGATGGTTTGGTAGCAGCCGGAGGGAGAGACCATCGCACACCATCACTCGCATCATCCCCTTCACTATCATCACCACTAACATCGGCGCTGCTCACCCCGCCGCCACCACACACCGGCACTGGTGCAACTGCCACCACTGATGCCCCGCGTCGATCCGTGCGGTTCAAGCTCTCACCAGAGATTAGGGAGTTCACTGGATCGGCCATGTCTGATGGGTCCTGCTCCTCGGGGTCTTTTGATGAGGCCTCCTCCCCTCCTGCCTCGACTATCTCTGCTTCGAAAGCGAGGCTGCAAGCACTGCTGGCGCTGCAGAAGCAGCAGGAGGAGGAGGAGGAGGATCGGGAGCGGGAGCGGGAGCAGCAGCCGCAGCTGCAGCATTCGAACTCGCAGCACCCGCCGCCGCACCAGCAGCACTCCCAGCAGCAACAGCAGCTGCTGCAGCATCGCCAGCAGCAGCAGCAGCAGCAAAGGCAGCAGAGGAAGGAAGAAGAAGAGGATGAGGAGGATGAGGATGAGGAATATGAGGAAGCGGAGGGAGAATTTGAAGATGAGGGAAGGAGGGAGGGTGGTTCGGGTTATGGTGTGGGATCAGGGCAACGAGGAGTGGTTGGAGGCAGAGGAGGGGGAAGGGGTGAGGGTGGAGGGAGAGGGAAGGGATTGACAGGTGTGGCAGGATACACGGGGATGGGTAATAACTCCATGCAGCCGCAGCAGAAACAGCAACAGCTGCAGCAGCAGCACCAGCAGCAGCAGCAGCACCAGCAGCAGCAGCAGCAGCAGCAGCAGCAGCAGCAGCAGCAGCAGCAGCAGCAGCAGCAGCAGCAGCAGCAGCAGCAGCAACAACAACAACAGAAACGGCAGCAGCAGGGGCGGATACAGTACGAGAGAGGTTCAGCAGGGAATGATTCGCGTGGTGGCAACGCAGACGACATTGATTCAGACGATTACTCAGATACTGACGAGGAGGAGGAGGGGGAGGAGGAGGAGGAGGAGGAGGAGCGTGGCATGAGTGTGGCAGCGGGCAGACAGAGCATGTCACAGCATGCTCCTGGAGTGACAAGAGGAGGCGGCAGGGGGATGGGGGAAGATGGAGGGAGGGGGAGAGGAATGGGTAGAGGAGGAGGAGCAGTGGGGGGAGGAGCGATGGGAGTAGGAGTGGGGTCAAGGGCTGCTGGTGGGGGAGTGAGGAACGCTTATGTGAGGGGTGCAGCTGGCGATGGGGATGCGGATGCTGGTTCAGGTGGTGATGAGTATGAAGATGCTTATGATGATGAAGAGGATGATGATGATGATGCAGGGTCGTTCGCGGGCTTTGGTGCTGGGCTGTAATGAAACATCTGAGTGTGTTTTGAGACGTCTCAGAACACGCTTATGATGATAAAGAGGATGACTATGATGATGGTGCGGGGTCATTCGCGGGCTTTGGTGCTGGGCTGTAATGAAACATCCAAATTTGTGATTGCATAGGATTACTGGGGAAAGGGGACAGGAGGGGGGGGGGGGGGAAGGAGGTAGGGGAGGGGTGGTAAGGTGAGGGTGGGAGGGGAAGAGAGTGGGGAGGGGAGGGCGGAGGGGGGTGTTAGTATAGTATTGTCTTTCACTGACTTTACATCTGACTTTCTGACCAAGTGTATGCCTTTCAGTCTTTATGCACTACACTGTTCCAGTGCCTACGGACTCCACCGTTTAGCATCTGCCTAAAAACCAGGTCATTTGATTTCGTGTTGGACAAGTTTTCCCCGAACCCGAATTTAGCTCTTGTGTAGATGTCGGAAAATCCTACAATTGGCGTGGAAACATCAAGCGTGACACTTGCCTAGAAGGACTATATATGACGTCTGGTGTCAGAGGTCCACTGGTGATCCCCGATTGATCCTAGAGAGAGTTACAGGCTCGTTGTCCTGGGGGGTTATGGGCGCACTGACCCGCTACTTAACAAGCCCTTTTATCCCAATGGTCTAGTGGTTGGAATTCTGACATGGTATTAGAGCGAAGGTCTCGGGTTCGAATCTCAGTGTGTGCACTTCGGGCATCCCAGTGCGGGGGGGTGTCAGAGGTCCACTGGTGATCCCCGATTGATCCTAGGGAAGGGTTACAGGCTCGTTGTCCTGGGGGTTATGGGCGCACTGACCCGCTACTTAACAAGCCCTTTTATCCCAATGGTCTAGTGGTTGGGATTCTGACATCTGGAGCATTATATTTCCACCGCACTGTATATTTGATACAGTGCGGTGGAAATGCTAGATTCTCAGCTGTAATTGTCAAAATTAGAAGAAAGAAAGAGGATTGAATTAGCAAGAATGAGGATACAAATAGCAAACCCTAGAAGGGTTGTACTCGCTATAGAGCACCCCACTACAGGCTAGAACAATAAGATAATATTCTGACACACCCCCATAGCCAAAGTGGGGTGTAATCAGCAGAGCAGGCAAAGCAAAACAAGCTCAAGGTGGATCACAATGTCACCACACATTCTGAGCACAAGTTCAAGAAGAAATAGTTTAGAGTTCACAATTATAAGCAAAGCTAGTGGTAGTCACAACGGGCAAGTGAGGAGGAGGAGGGAGAGTGAGGGGAGAGGAGACAGGAGGCGACGGCTGAAGCTGCAGACACACGGGCAACAGGAGGCAGACTGGCACAGCGGCTACCGGACAGCACCCGGACTACAGGAGTAACAGGCCCCGCGGCTCAAATAGCGGCGGACGGGCAACGGACCCACGGGCGGCTGGCACAGCTGGCTACGACTGGGCTACCGGGACAGCGCCCCGGACTACAGGTGCTGCTGACGACAAACTGGCAACCTCCGCTCATCCTCCCGCACACAGTCCCACCCCCCTGATACACACCCACTGCTACACCACTAGCTCTACTCCCACGCACCCCCCTAAAACCCTAAACCCCAGTCTCCCACACAACCACCCCCCTCAGCGACAGCTGCAGCAGTGGGAGACGAAGGAGGAGGAGGAGAAAGGGAGGAAGGCACACCGGCCACCCCCATACCCGCCACCCCACAGCTCGCAAGCGACCCCCTCAGGTCGCCACGACGGACGACGGGAAATGGGGGAAGGGGAGAAAGGGGGGGGGGCCACCACGGACCTGAGGGGAGGGCGGGGCCGCGACATGGGGCGGGGCCGCGACGAGCGGGGCGGGGCCGCGACGGTCGGGGTGGGACCGCGACGTAGGGTGGGGCCGCGACAGGTCGGGGCCGCGAAGGTAGGGCGGGGCCGCATAGGGTCCGGGGCGGGGCCGCGACGTAGGGCGGGGCCGCTTCGAGGGGCGGGGCCGCGACGCAGGGGCGGGGCCGCGACGAGGGGCGGGGCCGCGACGGTCGGGGCGGGGCCGCGACGGAGGGGCGGGACCGCGACAGGTAGGGCGGGGCCAAGCCGGGCAGGCGCACGGGCGGCGACGGGCCGGGGCGGGGCCGCGACGAAGGGCGGGGCCGAGCCGGGCAGGCGCACGGGCGGCGACGGGCCGGGGCGGGGCCGCGACGTAGAGGAGAAGCCCGCCGCGCGCCCCGGGGCGCACAGCGGGCAATGAACCGCCGCGCGCCTCGGGGCGCACGGCGGGCAGAAAACCGCCGCGCGCCTCGGGGCGCACGGCGGGATGAAAAAGTAGCAGCGGAAGCAAGGTGGGGACACACCCACAGGATCGATCCAAGGGGATCGACCTGCTCTGATAGCATGTCAAAATTAGAAGAAAGAAAGAGGATTGAACTAGCAAGAATGAGGATACAAATAGCAAACCCTAGAAGGGTTGTACTCGCTATAGAGCACCCCACTACAGGCTAGAACAATAAGATAATATTCTGACAGTAATGCGGTGCAGAACAGTACATACCGTATCGCCCCGGATATAAGCGCCGCGGCGCTTATAATAAAATCGATTTTTTTAGGGGTGGCGCTTGTAATTGAATAACGGCCATAAGCGCCGGCGCTTATATAAAGACAAATACAGAAATACAATTCAAACGCACCAACATGTACATTCCAGTCTCGTAAGTTGAACTGAATTAAAACTTTACAGCGTCCAGAATCAGAATCGCGCGAGGGCGAATTTCTGACGGTGCACTGAGCTTTGGCGCGTCATTTTGCCCGCGTGCCAGCTCATACTGACTGGACGCGCAACCAGTGAGGTCCGCGAAAGTCAAACAAAGTGAAAATGTGATGTGACTCGCTAGAAATATGAAGTTCGTTACCGTTTTAATCAGGAATGAAAAATAAATTTAGGCATGCGCTTATAATAAGTAAAGCATTTTCAGGGGGGGGCGCTTATAATCGAATTCCGGCCATAAGCGCCATGCTCCAGATAGAAGCGCCGGCGCCTTTATGGGAACGGCGCCTATATCCGGGGCGATACGGTAGGTTTAGTGACAGGATTGAGACACAAATGTCCATATGAGAATGTACCCTGAGGCTCCTTGCACAATTCTCTCGTCAGTCTCATACCGTATTCTCCCGGATAAAACACCCTAGGGTATTATGAAAACCACTGGGAAAAAATGGGGGGGGGTCTCCTCAAAGGAAAATCTTACATAATACCCGGGTCTTATTATATGGTATATTTTTTATCAAGTAGAAAAGATGTGAAACAAAATCAGGTGTCTGACTTCACTTCAAGATTGTTGACCAGTGCCGCAAAACCGAGTATACGAGGATAACGTGACCGCCCACTGGAATCTGCCACGTGGCATAATCGAGTGGGCAATTTTGGCACTTGATAGGGTGAAAACAAAGCCAATTGCGTGGCGAGGGTTCATGCAACCGCCGGCCAGAATCGCACACGGTGGTGCGTTCTTACTGCACCAGTCACTTCTTGACTGGTTTGGTCACGTGTAAGTGAGGTGGGTTGGGTGGGGTATGAAAATGATGTGGCACGATCTAGGCTGTTCAATTTCTGGTCTGTAATCAGCAGAGAGATCCGCATTGGCGCGCTGAAGCTTTGCTCCAGCATTCCACGAATGTGGGAGTGGGATGGGGACCTTTGGATACCATTTGCTCAAAAGTTTACCCTAAACCGTTCTGTACCGTAACGAAACCCCTGATTCCCGATTTCGTGTCGGTGCATTGCCAGCACATGGAGCCACTTGCAGCGGAAGATTCGCCAGCGTGGCGACAGCGAGATTGTGGGAGGGGGTAAATCT